GTACTGCAAATCATTTTAATATGACATGAAATTGATCATCATTTTTAATCTTGTAGATCACTTTTACATATCAATTTTAGGTGTAATAAATACTAATACATCCATCTTTTTGTACAAAAGCACTTTATATAGTTAATTTTTAAGTATTTTACTTTGAATAAATTTATTATTAGTATTACTTATCATGATTGTGTTTATCTTTAACTAGCATATATTTTGAAATACTGATCATTAACCGGAGCAGTGATCACTAGCTCAGAAGATTTTTTGCTGAGTCATGTACAGTGCCTTCAGTCAGATTGTGCAATAGAAAATATAGATTATTAATTAGATCTTGTGTGACATATTAATTTTTATATATATTTGAAAAAGAAAACATATTAACTTTTGTTCATTATTTTTTCCCAAACATATGTGAGAATATGTAAAAGAGTGACTATTTGTAATACAAAGCCTACTATATAAGTAAATAGTGCTAACAAAGTATATGTTATGAAATGCTGAGAACTTTGAAATTTTGAGATCGCTAGGAGTAAAATTAACTATATATCTTTTCAGTAGATCTGTTCCCTTTAGGATCCTTTTCATGTGAAAAGATATGAAGATTCCATTTGCATATGCTTTCATGAAGCTTAGCATCAGATAATAATACTAATTGCATCTTGTATTTCCTTAACTTTTTCCTTTCTAACAGTAAGATATAAAGCATTTTAGACGAATAAAAATAAACAGATTGCAGATCAAGTATTTGGGAATGACTATTTTGATTATATCTATAGTATTGTGATCACAGGTATAGAGTGGCATTTTATAATATATACTCTGGATGATATTTACTATACAAGTGACAGTAGAATATCAGATTAATCTCACGAAATCAGTCATCAAAGAAAATCCTGAATTATTTCGTAGCAACGTAAAAAGGGTGATTGGTATCATTGTAAAGTTGTTAAAAGATCATATTAGTATAGATAGTTTTCTAGCTAGTAAGAGAGCTAGAATCAAAAAAAATTATCAAAAATAATATGTATTATGAGTTTAGTCCAGACCTTTGTATTTATTTTTTGCATGTAATAATAAATTTTTTTTGATAAAAGTGATTTGCATTCAAAATTAGAATGGATACGTAATCTTTTATTATTTAATTTGAATATTTAGTATATTAAACAAGTATTATCAATAATATCAAATATACAATCTATTGATTCATTAAAAGAGGTAAATTCTAGGCTTTTAGTAGAAATTTCTGAATTCAAAAAGAAGTTTACAGAGGTTAAGGCTGAGAATACAAAGCTGAAGTAGATTATTGAGAAAAATGCTAGGCGTGATGCTAGAGTTGAGAAATTAAAGCAAAAAAAATACGAAGCTTGAAGCCAGACTAATGATAGTGAAATAGGATTCCTTAGTAATACATAATCAGCTATATAAAGAACCAATATCAAAGAAGTCTATAAAATAAACTGTATCAGATGTTGATTTATCTAGCTCTATATTAAATTAGCGAAATAATGATAATACTAAAACATCAGAAGAAAAGAAGATAGATGTTTTTTGATTGAGATAAATAAGAAAAGTATTAGTGATAAAATTAGAGAGAGCAGATGAGAAAAAAAAGTTCAGGATATGATAATTGCCAAAGATTCATCTTCTGTTACTTCAGACTTAACTTATTGTAAGAAAGACCTTTTCATGACTAACACTGAACTTGTAACTATCCAAAAATAGGTAGTCAAAGAATCAATTCCAGCCTGTAAGTTAGTTACCTCTAGTAATAAATCATCTGCTAGGATATCATCAGTAAAATCGCCTATAGTGAATAAACAAGTTCTAGCTTTTGAGAATACAAAAACAGAGTGTTAAAAAATTCCTTATAATCAAAAAGTAGAGCAAGATTTAAGATAAGAGCTATCCTTCACTAAAATTAGTGATAATAAAATTAATAAGGTGTTTAATATTCAGATTCCTGAACTCTCTTTAAAAGCAATTCTGATAAAATCTAGTGAAATTATAACACAAAATATAGTTGATCTATTTAGAATAGTAATGAAGCTTAAACATAATGAGATTTTATGCTGATATTATTACTATAAAGCATATGAAAATTGAGTTAGGGATGTTAAGTCTAAGAATGATATTGATGATAAATTAGCAAGAACATTGGTGTATAGTGAAATCAAACTTCTTCTTTCTGACATTACTAATGTAAACTTACGTAAAATAACTTTCAGAGCTAAAAAAATCTATATATTATTTGATGAGATAAGAATAAATAGAATCCAAATAATTAGCTGTAGCACAAGTGTTATCTCGAATTATAGTCTTATTGCTCTTTCTTATACCATAGATACTTCAAAGATAGCCTAATTATTTTCTTAGAAATATGATAAAAAATATTAGTAAGCTTTCTATCAGGGATTTTAATCTTTTTTTTTTGAATGAATATGAGAATAAAAAGGATTTAAACTGATTCACAATCATATAAAATTTAAACATGACCAAGTCTAATAAAATATTAACTCCTAAATACCTGAATTGACATACTAAATTAAGTGGGTTACTAGGCATTTTAACAGATAAGATTCATTTCAATTTATATAAAAGATATAAAAAAGAAACTGGAAATGAGCCATGACAATTATTAAAAACTCTCCTTCTCAGAAATTCGAAGTCAGAAATAAAGTAATCTATTTATCTTTTTCTGAACAATATGAAGAAAAAGGCCTATCACTTTCGAAGCTAAATCTGATTAAGAGTTAATTATTAAATTTATGTTAGAGCACTTTCCATACTTGAAATTCAGAAATAGTTTTAGAGGGATTGATAATTATAATTTTGTATCATCTCAACCGTAAAGCTTACCATGTCCTATTTGCGATAGAAAACATGAGAATTATAGATTACATGACTCATAATACTATAAAAATGAGAATTAGTTCCCTTATGATCCTGAATTAATGAAGTTGCTATCTCAAGATAAGTTGGAATATTATCTTACCTGCAACACTTCAAGCAATAAACTTAAGTTCGCGATTGTGGCTTAGACCGGAAGAATTATAAAGAAAAAATATTTGCATATTATTTCGTTTCTTTTTTTCGAATTTTGTGAATAGCTTATACAAAAGAAACTGAAATCAGATACGTAGTTGATATCGGGAAAATTCTTGCCAAGATTTTTTTGAGTACGTCATTGAAATTAAAGTTTATCATATAATTCACCAGTAGATCCCGCTTCTATTAGTTGGAAATGTGAAGAGTCTTCACAATTATCATATGACAGCATGTATTGTGGATATGTCTCCTTTGCCTCAAGCTAAAATAGAGAAATATTGTTTGAAAAAATAATCGTGTATAATAATCTACAATCATAGAATAACATCATATACCCAAGGCTAGTCCTGCATCATGTAATTTATCTTAGCTCAATGTATTGCAAATAAAAAATATTTAGGGCACTAACGGAAATCTGGATTGGCAAATTATTGGGCAATAAGATTGCCAGCAAAGATCCAGGGACTTTTATTCTCAAACTTTCTTGCATATTCTCAAAATTATTACATATATATTGTAAAAGGATCCCTTGATGATCTTTACATATGGATAGCATTAAATTCTTTTATAGTTATATTAAGGAGAGTCCGTTGATCAGATTCTCGCGATGCAATCATATTAATGTAATTTTCCCCAAAAGTTTATAACAAAATTGATCCTGCAAATTATATAAAAGGTGATGTCCTGGTTAGTGAATCCTTTTATCTGAATTGCGCAGAAAAGCAAAAATCAAACAAAAATTCAACTGTTCAGGTCTTACCATTATTTACAGTACATCGTCAATATCATGAACTCGTATATTCTGCAAAGTAATAATAAGGTAAGTTGGTTTATAGATTCTTGAAACATGTCATCATGACATTAATCGATTTCCCGCCTCTATAGATGTTCCAAAATAAAACGGACGTATTACTCTTCTTGTTATATATCGGCATTTTGATCTTTGCCGAAACTATCATCATGCGTATAATAGGCGCAGTGAAATAACTAGCAGTATTATGAAAATACTTATCGAATCCACGTGTCTCATCAGTGCAGGTAAACTTTATCGAGCATCAACAAAATTTGCTGAATTCTTGATGTTTTGCGCAGTATCGAACTTGACGATAAAATTGTGAGGCGATATGGAATATTATTAAAACAGTAAATGTGAATCAGAAGCCCTCACCTTGTTTTATTTATTTTTATCTCATTGCTAATCTCAAGAATTCTCCTATAGATTCGAAATCATTTCATCTCAGGGAAATTCTCTTGTGGGAAATAATCTATTACATGAGTGGGAGTGATATAGATAGACGAAAATTCTGTAGATATAGTGGTATAAGTTATTTCAAAAATCTAGTGTAAGAATCTTGTAGTTAGCAATAGCAATAGAAATAAAACAATTATTATTAGAGAGCAAAGAAATAACTTGACGTCCTCTTTGATAGCTATTTCGTTAATTGTTTGATTCCGTAATTTTAATTTATTTTGTATCAATAAAACTGATCGATTTCACATATGTAAATGCATACCTTAAATCAACGTTATAATCTGCGAATCTTACATTCTTTGGATTCTTGGCGACTTTAATGTCAAGAAACCCTCACCCCTGCTTGGGGAGTGGTTAGGGACTTAATCCAGTCTTTCAATTCAACATCATAACACAAGTTCTGATGGAAGCATAGACCATAGCACATGGTATTGCCATCTTTATGTAAAGCAAAGATGGTGCATCACCGGTTAGGGACTTAACCCAGTCTTTCAATTCAACATCATAACACAAGTTCTGATGGAAGCATAGACCATAGCGACAATGCAAGTTTCTTGACTTCATTGGTCAAGCATAAAAAATTTTAGCACGTTTGTTAACTGATTCGAGGTTACACCAGGTAGGCAGGTAATGATTGCAATCATATTATAAGCCTTATAAGTTATAACAGTGTAGTTCTCTAGTAAGTTATAATTTTACCATGAACAGAACCAAACAATCCAAAAGTACCTCTGACAGGTAGACGTCATAAATAGTTGCTTTACTTTTTATGTTTGTCATTAATTTCATAGTTTCTTTCAGTACTCAAAAATGCCGAAAAAAATTACACCAAGAAGCTCAAAAACAGAGTGTGATTTACGAGAAAAACGAGACTCGACAATTTCGCACTCTTGTAAGTATGATGGTCTGTCACTATGAAATTTCTCATGGGAAATTCTGTAACCTTTACCATTTCTCTCAACTAGGCTAAACATATGAATAGTATGCTTAAGGATCGTGTAAGTTTATCATGCAGTCGTATTTTGAATTGGTTTGGAGAATAACTTTTAACTTACACTCTTCTAAACTAGACTGATCATGACCGTAAAATGTTTCGCCAATTGGTAAGTTAATTAAAATTATTTATGCTAAACAACAATAAATATATACATTTTTTTTATCAATAGCACGATGCTGAATACCATCTTAATGAATCAGCGAAATCTCCACCATCTGTACCTAGCATTGATCCTGTAAAATATGTAAGTATAACGCGATTTGCTTAGTAGAAGTTGAGAATCACAGAACTAATTATTTTGTGGTTTGATATTTAGGACGAAGAGAGGGTAAGTTCATGAAATTTTCAATGTTATTTTATGCGATATTGACCTTTATTTCCATAGAAATTGGACGAGATTGACGATTTTTTTCAAAGCCCTCCTGAGAAACTACAGAAATCGGGAATTAATGAAGAAGACCTTTCCGGCACGGAGAACGACCAGGTATAGTAATTTGTATTAAGTTCGGTTATCAAGATTTAACTATTCATAACTCTAATTTGCGTGATTTCTTTTTAGGCCGAGTCTGAATTCACTGGAGAATCCGAGTCTGAAGACGAGGAGGAAAATACTCCTCCAAGAATCGACAAGAAGGCCTTTCGCGAAAAATACAAGTCTATTCCCGAATCTTCGAAAATGCGGTTGAGCACAGGAAAGATCGTGGAGAATACCCTTTTCAAATTTTGTAAAAACATGGACTATGAGCAGTAAATGTTTGAAACTCGTCTTTTTCTTGCATCTCAAAACTTTGTTCCTTTATACTGAGATGTTATCAGCCATGCTCACTCATACATTGTAGATTGTGACGATACCGAAATTAAGGCTTTATTCACTGATACTGAATGGAACGAATTGACTAATGACCGATTAGGAGTTCCCCCTATTCCGGCTGATATCGCAAAAGAATTGTCAAAATACGGAAAGAAGACATTAGAAGAATTTCGCGAGGTTTCGATGACATCTTATCTTCAAAATAATGTTAAATATAATGTCCATCAACATTATGATAATGAATGGATACAGATGTCCGTAAGAAATCTTGTAAATTTATATGAAAACACAGATTGTCCTTTATTGCAAAATCAGTATGAAGACTGGTACACTGTAGCTCTTTTTGGAAGTTGTATAGATCTCTGTCTTAGAGATATGCGGTTAGGGACTGACATAAAGAGGTCTTTAATTACTTTTTTAACTGATGCAATTGCATTATCACTAGACGTTAACTAAACAGTTGGTTTATCATATTTATAGGACCGACGCACCCTCATTAGCTTCCGCTAATAGGAAAAATCGTACAAGTAGCACAAGAAAGAGAAAGCTAACCGGGAGAAAAATCGATGGAATAGTATACGTTATCTACAAACTTCTTGAGATAGGGGCAATCGAGGCAGCAAGATCTTTTAAGGGTGTTTCCGATCGAAAATACCTCCTTGAGAATTTCAAAATGCCGAAAACACTTCGTGATATGCTAGCTGATATGATTAGGGATGTGAATTACGAAGAAGAAAGGGTGAACAAACTTCAAAGTGTTCGGAATCTTACACCTCGGATTAAGGGTTCAAGCTACCAGGTTGTGGCGTGCTGGCGGGTCGATTACTATTTTCTATAAGGATCCCAATATATATTACTTAAGTAATAAGTTTTCAGTGGAAGGTGTTAAAAATTTCCTCAGATTTCTAGCTATGATATATCAATATAAGGTGAAAATATTATTTATACATGCTTGTGTATTTTTCTTTAAGCTTTCCTAATCATTCATACCGTTTACACAGATCATTGTAAAGGATAATTTGAATATCATAAAAATAAATGCAAATTCTGAGACAGAAGACGACTTATATAATGAATTTATGGGAATTGGTCAATCTTCCCGATCTACGCCTCCACCTTCGATTTATTTTTTTGCTGATAGTGAGAAGACTCCGAAGAAAGCCAAAAAGAATTCTGTGAAAAAGAGAAATTAAGTAAATAGAAACTTCAACATCATTCATTTTAAATATATCACGGACAATTACAAATTGCTAAACATTGTATGAGTGTGTTATGCAGTATAGTACATTGGGAAAAAAATAAAAAAAAAGTGATTTTATTGTATTGCAATAACTCGAGAATTTTTTCTTAGCAAAAGTGATCGGTGGAACGTGCATGTGATTTTTAAATGCGTTCTCACCTTATTTATCTCCTGAAATCTGTGGATCTAACTATAGATGAAACCAAATATGTAATTGCTAAAATTTTAACGCAAAGGTTTGATGAGCTCAGACAAGCTTGTCCAGCCTCGGCCATCCTTTTTGGATAATATAGTAACTTTTTTTCTTAAAACCTTTGGCTGAAACGTATTAATACAGTTCGCCCACAAATCGGGCTTATGATTTGCAAAGGTATAAGTGTGTGTAATGCATTTGGAATATGTAATATTTCCGTTATAAAGTACTGCGCCATAAATTATCACTTCAGCACAATTTTGACGAGCCCTGCTAAAGAAAAAATCCAAAATCTGATTAGCCGTTCATCTCGTGATTTGAGTTTGCAGGAAGGTTGCGAGGAAGTGCTGGGAACTGACTGGGAGTTAGGGTGATACAAACTTTATAATTTAGCCATCCATGGTGATCGTAACCAAATCATTATGTCGGAAAAAAATCAGTTATTAATCTATTTTTAACCCGAAGTTCTTTGAACAAGGGGATAATCGAATAAAAATGAATCTGATATTTTGTTATAATATACTTTCTATAAATCACTATAAGTCTTCAAAACAGCTATAAATCAATAAAATCAGTGAAATTACTATAAATTGCTATAAACTCCCTACACCTGTAAAATGGTTAAAACTAACTATTCTGGTTTAAATCCTGTAGTTGTGCAGGCGTTAAACAATCTGCAATATAGGTATAGTGGTGAAACACCAGAAATGTGATGTTTTCGTATTCGTTATCCATTTAAGAAACTTCTTTAATATAACCCAAAAAACTTTTCCAAGAATGGATTTATTCAAATGATTGAAAAAGTATATATAGATGGGGATTTAAAGTTGGGAGACACTCATTTAATATTTATTGCACTGTATGCGACTCCTTGGTATTTATCTGTGAAAATACCATTGAATGTGCAAATAAACATTTGAATGAATGCATTGCTAAACAGCCAAAAAGCATCTTGCATATTCTAATCCTATTCAGAAAAAAAGGAGGAAATAGCATCAGAACTAAATAAAGATGAAATTTATGAGATATGTAATAAATATACTGATTTTCCTAGTTGGGGTTATAGATGTAATACAGACTATGAATATAAATTATGGAAAAAGACTGCATATCATATATTTAATAGTGCAAAAATAATCTAACGGGCTTGGAGAGCTTTCAAGTTGAGACCTGAAACTTGGGCAAAACGAGTTTAGAATATAGTGAGAAATGATGATACTTCTGATAAGATGAAATATTTAGGTATACTTTCAACTAGTAAATGGGAAATAAATCCTCTAACTCAAGAAGAATATGATTTGCATACCGATGATTATGCTAACTGCATTAAAAAGCATATAATGAAAATATTGCTCAAAAATATATTAAAGAATATCTAGCCAAATGGGTCACAGGATACAAGGAATATGATTATTATCATCCTAGTATTTGGGTAGAAAAAAGAGAGACTAGTCACAAAAATGATTAAATAATATAGCATATATACAATTAGACCTCCATACAGTCACATCTCTTTATATACACCTAATTTTGTGAAACAGATTTTAATATTATTTAATTGCCTCTTTATAATCACAAATTGGGTATAATCACTATCACCTCATGATCCGTAACGTACATATCATTTTTATTAGTAATTAGACCTCTTTATAATCACGAATTTCTAATTGATTTATTAAATAAGTTATTAAAGTCCGCAAATCTGCAAAAGATATAATGATAAAATAGTTTAAAATATAATAACTTAAAATATAATACTTAAATTATAACACTTAAAATATAACACTTAAATGTAATACGATAAAAAAGAATACAATTATAAAATGTAATGCTTAAAAAATCATCATATTTCAGTATTTTCTTATAATAATTTTATTACATTTTTCTGTATTTGCTTAGAGAATTTAATATAGTTGGTTTTCCTGCATCAAGTATTAGCTATGATGCTACAAATCCTAAAATATCATTATAGCTTATAAAAAACTTCTTTAAAAAATCTTTTCAAAAAAACTTTTTTGTTTGACTAATTTTTTATAATGTCTAAATAACACTGTTTAGCTATAAGTGCTAATCTTAAACACCAAATTTGTGAATAGACAAAAAACAACAATAATAAAAAACATTCTAAAATTGCAGCTTATTTTAATAAAAAAAATCCTACTTTAAATATTGACTGTAGCATTATATCAAAAATATTAGCACAAAATGAAAAATGGAATTCTGTATTAGAACCTTTAAGTTCTAAAAAAATTTTCAGGAATAGAGGGATCAAATTTCCAACACTTGATCATGCTATAAATTTATGAGTAGAAAATTTAACAGCAAGTGGCGTTATCTTAACAGATTTATTAATAAAAAAAAAGGTAAAGTTTTTTGCTAATACATTTAATATACAAGAAAATAAGTTAGTTTTCTCTAATAATTGGCTATATAAATTTAAAAAACGTAACAATATTCATAAATATCATATGCATAAAGAGTTAGAAAGTGTACCATTAGCATTTCTTCCTAAAGAACGAAAAAAATTACAATTACTTTTAGGTTGATATACTTTAAATCAAATTTATAATATTAATAAAACAGTAAGTCTTTAATATACTTTTTATATTATATGCGTTGTAACAGGTAAAATTTTAGATAGATTTAATTAGTAGAATAGGAAGTCAATTTTATTGCTATGTAGATCTTCTAT